GGAAATAAAAATTTACGAATTTTGGATTTTAGATTTTTTTCAAAATTCCTGTAAAATTTTCAAAGTGCGGGAAATTGAAGAGAAAAATTCTATACTTCAGAACAACAAATTTTGGACTAGGAGATACTAAGAATAAAAATTTGCCAATTGGGAAATGTTGAGTGATGATAAGAGCTTAAAGAATTTTGAATTTGTGAATATCGCAGGAAATGAAAATTTACGAATTTTAGATTTTAGATTTTTGCAAAGTTCCTGTAGAATTTGAAAATTTTCGGTCTGGCACGAAAATTTAGAGGGAAAAATTCTAAATTTCAAAATAACAAATTTTTAACAACTAAGAATGAAAATTTGTGACACCTAGAATCTTACATGTTTTCAAAATTTCAGTGGAGTATTAAAATTTTTGAAATTATTCCCATTATACAAATATAGAATTAACCTGAAAACTGCTAGTAGTTCTTGGGAAATTTTATGTGTCGATATAAGCTTAAAGAATTTTGAATTTGTAAATATCACAGGAAATAAAAATTTACGAATTTTGGATTTTAGATTTTTTTCAAAATTCCTGTAAAATTTTCAAAGTGCGGGAAAGTGAAGAGAAAAATTCTATACTTCAGAACAACAAATTTTGGACTGGGAGATACTAAGAATAAAAATTTGCGCATTGGGAAATGTTGAGTGATGATAAGGGCTTAAAGAATTTTGAATTTGTGAATATCACAGGAAATGAAAATTTACGAATTTTAGATTTTAGATTTTTGCAAAGTTCCTGTAGAATTTGAAAATTTTCGGTGTGGCACGAAAATTTAGAGGGAAAAATTCTAAATTTCAAAATAACAAATTTTGAACAACTAAGAATGAAAATTTGTGACACCTAGAATCTTACATGTTTTCAAAATTTCTCTGGAGTATTAAAACTTTTGAAATTATTCCCATTATACAACTATAGAATTAACCTGAAAACTGCTAGTAGTTCTTGGGAAATTTTATGTGTCGATAAGAGCTTAAAGAATTTTGAATTTGTGAATATCACAGGAAACAAAAATTTAAGAATTTTGGATTTTAGATTTTTTCAAAATATCTGTAGAATTTCAAAATTTTCAAAGTGACCGGAAATTGGAAAGCGAAATTCTAAAATTCAAAACAACAAATTTTAAACTGGAAGATACTAAGTATTAAAATTTTGAAATTATTCTCAATGTATGTGTTTAAAGAATTTTAAATTTGTAACGATCACAGTAATTAAAAATTTACGAATTTTGGATTTTCGATTTTTGCAAGATTCCTGTAGACTTTGAAAATTTTCAATCTGGCAGGAAATTAGAGGGAAAAATTTTAGATTTCAGAATAACAAATTTTGAACAACTAAGAAAAAAAGTTTGCGACACCTGGAATTTAATACGTTTTCAAAATTTCGGTAGTGTGTTAAAATCTTGGAAATTATTTCAATTATACAAATTTAGAATTAACCTAAAAAGTGTTAGTAGTTGTTGATAAATTCTAATTGGCTATATAAACTTAAAAAATTTTGAACTTGTAAATATCACAAGAAACAAAAATTTAAGAATTTTGGATTTTAGATTTTTTCAAAATATCTGTAGAATTTCAAAATTTTCAAAGTGACCGGAAACTGGAAAGCGAAATTCTAAAATTCAAAACAACGAATTTTAAACTGGAAGATACTAAGTATAAAAATTTGCGACAACTAGGATTTTACATGTTTTCAAAACTTCGCTGGAGTATTAAAATTTTTGAAATTATTCTCAATGTACAAATATAGAATTAACCTGAAAAGTGGTACTAGATTTTAGTACATTTTAAGTGATGATGTGTGTTTAAAGAATTTTATATTTGTAACGATCACAGGAATTAAAAATTTACGAATTTTGGATTTTCGAATTTTGCAAGATTCCTGTAGACTTTGAAAATTTTCAATCTGGCAGGAAACTAGAGGTAAAAATTTTAGATCTCAGAATAACAAATTTTGAACTACTAAGAATAAAAATTTGCGACACCAATAATTTTAGATGTTCTAAAAATTTCGGTAGTGTTTTAAAATTTTGGAAATTATTTCCATTATACAAATGTAGAATTAACCTAAAAAGTGTTAGTAGTTGTTGGTAAATTCTATGTGGCTATATAAGCTTAAAGAATGTTGAACTTGTAAATATCACAAGAAACAAAAATTTAAGAATTTCGGATTTTAGATTTTTTCAAAATAAATATAGAATTTCAAAATTTTCAAAGTGACCGGAAATTGGAAAAAAAATTACAAAATTCAAACAACAAATTTTAAACTGGAAGATACTAGGTATAAAAATTTGCGACAACTAGGATTTTACATGTTTTCAAAATCTCGCTGGAGTATTAAAATTTTTGTAATTATTCTCAATGTACAAATATAGAATTAACCTGAAAAGTGCTACTAGATTTTAGTAAATTTTAAGTGATGATATGTGTTTAAAGAATTTTGAATTTGTAACTATCACAGGAATTCAAAATTTACGAATTTGGATTTCCGATTTTTGCAAAATTCCTGTAGAATTTGAAAATTTTCAATCTGGCAGGAAATTAGAGCGAAAAATTTTAGATTTCAGAATAACAAATTTTGAACTGCTAAGAATAAAAATTTGCGACACCAATAATTTTAGATGTTTTAAAAATTTCGGTAGTGTTTTAATATTTTGAAAATTATTTCCATTATACAAATGTAGAATTAACCTAAAAAGTGTTAGTAGTTGTTGGTAAATTCTATGTGGCTATATAAGCTTAAAGAATTTTGAACTTGTAAATATCACAAGACACAAAAATTTAAGAATTTGGAGTTTAGATATTTTCAAAATATCTGTAGAATTTCAAAATTTTCAAAGTGACCTGAAATTGGAAAGCGAAATTCTAAAATTCAAAACAACAAATTTTAAACTGGAAGACACTAAGTATAAAAATTTGCGACAACTAGGATTTTACATGTTTTCAAAATTTCGCTGGAGTATTAAAATTTTTGAAATTATTCTCAATGTACAAATATAGAATTAACCTGAAAAGTAGTACTAGATTTTAGTAAATTTTAAGTGATGATATGTGTTTAAAGAATTTTAAATTTGTAACGATCACAGGAATTAAAAATTTACGAATTTTGGATTTTCGAATTTTGCAAGATTCCTGTAGACTTTGAAAATTTTCAATCTGGCAGGAAACTAGAGGGAAAAATTCTAAATTTCACAATTACAAATTTTCAACAACTAAAAATAAACATTTGCGACACCTGGAATTTTACGTTTTCAAAATTTCGGTAGAGTATTAAAATTTTTAAAATTATAGAAATTTATTTAAAAATCAATAAAAAAAACTTAAAAGTGAATTCAACATTGAGAGGATAAAGTCGATAATTTTTTAAATCTTGGTGTATATAACAGACAGACCTGGTTTTGTCGACCCTTTGCCCTCTCAAATAAAGCAAAAAACACTTAGGAAGCTAAAATCTGAAAATTACGCGTGTTTATTATTAATTTAGCTTTTTTCAAACAAAAGCAAACACTTCGAACTCTTGAGAACATTTGTTCATAATTGTGTTTGTAGGCCAAGTTCACATTACCACGGCGGCTTTCAAATATTTCACCCTTGTTGCAACAATTGATTTCATTATTAAAACTGAATACACGATTGCAACTTTTTTGATATTTTTAACACATTTAGTAGGATAAAGCGTCCTTGACCAAATCACCCTGTATAACTCTACGTAAAATCAACCAGAAATAACACTGACAATTTTTTTTTTAGTTCTATGTCCTGTACTAAAAATAACCCATTTGTATGACATGAATAACCTTGAATTCTAATTTTAAAGTGTATACCAAGGTGTGAAGACAAGGTTAGTTTTGAAAAAAAAAATTTGTAGGAATCCCTCGATCAAATTTTTTATTTTTTTATTTATTTTTTTAAATAAAAGATGCAATCATAATATACAGTGTAAATTGACTTGAATAACAAACAAATACTTTTTGACAATTTTTGTGGAAATTTCGAAAAATTTTAAAAACATGTATTTTCGAGGCAACATAAACAATTTTCTCCAGACTTCTTTAATTACCTAAAATAATAAAAAAAACGGTTTGAACTTATCAGAAATAAATAGCTATGCAGCTTTCGTCCACAACATCAAAACTTGGTTTAATGATATTTTTGCCTCTAACAACAACAAGCAATTCCGCGTGTCGGGTCATAACATTTCCATCGTGACTTACGCTCTCGTAAATCGGCCTACCTCGTTAAAAATGCCACGATCTCAGCGAAAAAACCTTCACCGACAAAAAGCCGCATTTTCTAAAATTTCAATTAAATTACTTCACATTTCCGTTTTTCTCCCGCCCGCCAAAAAACCTATTTTCATTCGGTTACGTCGACACATTACGCGCTTTTTTCCAAATTAAATAACATTTTCTTACTGTGAACTATTAGAAACTGGTACCGCGTACCGAAAAAACGGAACAATTATCTCCGAAGGAGTGGCAGCAAGGTCCCCCGATTTAGCACTAATCGAATTTTTTCGCGCCTTTTCCAGGAGCGCGTCGAACTCATCGCGAATTTCTCTTGCACAATCGTTTCGTAAGATGGATCATCTCTGATGGGCCGGAAGATCGGCGATGGGGCTAAAGGTCAGTTTCTCTTTTGGTCGGTTTTGGGGTGATGCAAGGAGCACGCTGTGGAGGCGGAGTGCATTCGAAAGTAAAAGTACTCCTACGGGTACTGCGGGCGGTTTGGTAGCAAAGCGGGATCGGGGTACTTTGCTGGGAGGAGCGGGATTGTGGTAGATGGAGCAGGCGTGCAGAATGCGGTCGTGCTTGGGAGTAGTACCATTCGAAAGTAAAAGTACTTGCGGGTACTGCTATCTCGCTGGCAATGCGGATTCGAGAGGATTTGGGATTTTCGCGCATTTTTGGTCTTGGCGAGTAAAATTATGTATATGTGCCAGCAAGACGTCTAATTTCCCTTTCACTTACTTTCGAATCAAACAGTGTGGAGATGCAGCTTTGACAGTTATGTAAACGGGCGATTTCCCGCTTACCTGTTTAGGTACGCGTATCCCAGTCACTATATCACAGATCACTACTCACTAGGCACATTTTCGTGTCATTGTCACTGGGAGCCGACTTTCCTACACAAATCAGTACTGATCGCGAAATTCAAATTAGAAAGTTCTTCGGCAATTAACGCTTGATAAGCCAACGGATCGAGTGAAACTCAAACTTTGCCCAATTTGTGTAGAAAAGAAAAATTCGCGCGTCGGCCCTATTCTACATGCTGTTGGTCTTTTGGGAATGTCGCGAGTCGTACTGTGGTACCTTAAGACGACTTTGTTTTAGTATTGTGGTAAGAGTGCGCACGCACGCTCCATAGAGAGGGAAAGTGCGGTGAAAGGAACCAAAGGACACTACTTCATAGCGTACCGCCGCTGGTACCGACCAAGTACTTGCAGCGGCCGAGTCCCATTTTCGGATGCACTCTGACATTACACCCTCGATCGAAAAATGTGAGAAAAATCGAACAAGGTCCGGTGGAAATGTCAAGAGCGATAATGGAATTTTGGATGAGATGGACCTGACCTTTGTAGTACCCGCGGTACTTACGTCTGGCACAAGCACGCGATCCAGTTAGCAGCAACAGCGCCTGATTTATGTCCACTTGACTCAGGAAAGTTACGAAAAACGATTTACGATCGATAACGTAACCATATTTAGAAAAAAAAGAAAAAGAAAACCGGAGTTTTGTGACATTAGCAAAGACCTGAATGTGTTATTAAAGTATTCAAGCTATGTTCTCTCACATCTGGTCAAACAAAAAGAGACAGTTTCGTTATTTCCAGAGGCCTTAAACTAGAAACTGTATTTTTGGTCGTTTCTTTAGTCTGACCTTTTGTTTTGATTTATGTGTGATTTATTGTTTCATTCATTTTCTTGTGGTTCTACGGACAAGTTCAGCTGTCTTATTAATGAATAAAATTATGTAAATGTTAATAACTTCGGGACTTCAAATTTAAAAAATGTAGTTTGTTTCTAAATTTAAAAAAAAGAACAAATGTGACCTTTGTGTTTAATTTATGGTTGATTTATTTATTTTGGGCACGAAAATCGGATACGGGTAATTTATTTCGGTGGTTTGGACACCTGGCAGGGAAAACCGTCCGGTGCTTAAGATTTTAAATGTGAGTGAGGTGGGTTCTCGCCCTGGGAACTTCACCACTAATTTTGTATGTGTTAATTGAACCCAATTTGATCAGGGCTAATTTTAATTGATTACCCTCTAATTAAATTAAATATAGGTGACTGCTCATGACTTAGTGATAATTTTTTATCTAACTATTTAGTTTAGTTTTTAATTAAGTAGAATAACAATTAATTATTTGAAGAGAAAATAATTTCACTGTTCAGCTGTAATCATTTCATTTTTTCTACGACTTCCTCTGAAATTTTAAATCGATTTTAATAATCTGTTGTAGAACAAATTTCACTTTTATTTCCTTATTAATTTATGTATTTAAGGATAGAGCTCGAAATATACACGAAAATGTATTTATTTAGACAAGTTTCGAAAATTTGAAAAATATTGGAAAAATTTCACTTTTGCAAAAGTTGCTTAAAAATTTACAAAATTTCTCGACACGCTGATTTCAAAAATATAGCATGTTGATGGTCACGAAGAAACTTTTTCGAAAAAATCTCTGCGAAATACGAATTTTTGAAAAGGGCAGTATACGATAAGGTTCCAAGTTCGGCCCGGCATTAATTACGGTTATATCTACACCTAATGAAGCAAGTTGGCTCCAATGATTGATTTAAACCAAACAATCCGAAATAAACTCAAATTGTACGATTTACATCAACAAAAAAGAAAAATATATGAAAAATTCTGTACCGGTTTCGCGAAACTCCAGCATTTAAATACTTGCATTTTCACAACATTTTCAAATATTGCACTGACTTTGCTAAGACCATTTAGGAACACACATGACAAAAAATCTCTTGTTTTGGAGATCCAGATGGTGGTAAACCTTCTTTCTGAAAGGAATGACTGCATACTCGCAGCATCGTAGAACTTTACACACATTGTTGAGATACTAGAATAACACATTAGAAAACTCAGGATTAGCGCTCTATTGTTTTGGAGATCCAGAGGATTGTATATCTGGAATTAATCTTCAAGTAAGGAATGACTGCATACCCGCAGCATCATAGATGCTGGCACACATATTGCTAAGACAATTTAGAAAAACATATGAAAAAATTCAGGATTAACCCTCTCTTGTTTTAGAGATCCAGAGGGTGGTAAATATGGAATTAATCTCTTTTTAAGAATGACTGCATACTCGCAGCATCGTAGAACTTTGCACACACGTTGTTGACACAATTTGGAATAACATATTAAAAAATTGAGGATTAGCCCTTTCTTGTTTTGGAGATCCAGAAGACTGTATATCTGGAATTTTTCTTCTTGTAAGGGATGACTGCATACTCGCAACATCATATATGTTTACACACATGCTGCTGAGACAATTTAGAATAACATATGAAAAAATTGAGGATTAGCCCTCTCTTGTTTTAGAGATCCAAAGGGTGGTAAATCTGGAATTAGTCTCTTTTTAAGAATGACTGCATACTAGCAGCTTCGTGGAACATTGCACACACGTTGATGAGACAATTTGGAATAATATATTAAAAAATTGAGGATTAGCCCTTTCTTGTTTTGGAGATCCTGAGGATTGTATATTTGGAATTTGTCTTCTTGTAAGAAATGACTGCATACTCGCAGCATGATTTATGTTTGCACACATGTTGCTGAGACAATTTAGAATAACAAATGAAAAAATTGAGGATTAGCCCTCTCTTGTTTTAGAGATCCAGAGGGTGGTAAATCTGGAATTAGTCCCTTTTTAAGAACGACTGCATACTAGCAGCTTCGCGGAACATTGCACACACGTTGATGAGACAATTTGGAATAATATATTAAAAAATTGAGGATTAGCCCTTTCTTGTTTTGGAGATCCTGAGGATTGTATATTTGGAATTTGTCTTCTTGTAAGAAATGACTGCATACCCGCAGCATGATTTATGTTTGCACACATGTTGCTGAGACAATTTAGAATAACATATGAAAAAATTGAGGATTAGCCCTCTCTTGTTTTAGAGATCCAGAGGGTGGTAAATCTGGAATTAATCTCTTTTTAAGAATGACTGCATACTCACAGCATCGTGGAACTTTGCACACACGTTGTTGGCACAATTTGGAATAATATATTAAAAAATTGAGGATTAGCCCTTTCTTGTTTTTGAGAACCAAAGGATTGTATATCTGGAATTTGTCTTCTTGTAATGAATGACTGCATACTCGCAGCATGATAGCTGTTTGCACACATGTTGCTGAGACAATTTGGAATAACATATGAAAAAATTGAGGATTAGCCCTCTCTTGTTTCAGAGATCCAGGGGGTGGTAAATCTGGAATTAGTCTCTTTTTAAGAATGACTGCATACTCGCAGCTTCGTGGAACATTGCACACACGTTGATGAGACAATTTGGAATAATATATTAAAAAATTGAGGATTAGCCCTTTCTTGTTTTGGAGATCCAGAGGATTGTATATTTGGAATTTGTCTTCTTGTAAGAAATGACTGCATACTCGCAGCATGATTTATGTTTGCACACATGCTGCTGAGACAATTTAGAATAACATATGAAAAAATTGAGGATTAGCCCTCTCTTGTTTTAGAGATCCAGAGGGTGGTAAATCTGGAATTAATCTCTTTTTAAGAATGACTGCATACTCACAGCATCGTGGAACTTTGCACACACGTTGTTGGCACAATTTGGAATAATATATTAAAAAATTGAGGATTAGCCCTTTCTTGTTTTTGAGAACCAGAGGATTGTATATCTGGAATTTGTCTTCTTGTAATGAATGACTGCATACTCGCAGCATGATAGCTGTTTGCACACATGTTGCTGAGACAATTTGGAATAACATATGAAAAAATTGAGGATTAGCCCTCTCTTGTTTCAGAGATCCAGGGGGTGGTAAATCTGGAATTAGTCTCTTTTTAAGAATGACTGCATACTCGCAGCTTCGTGGAACATTGCACACACGTTGATGAGACAATTTGGAATAATATATTAAAAAATTGAGGATTAGCCCTTTCTTGTTTTGGAGATCCAGAGGATTGTATATTTGGAATTTGTCTTCTTGTAAGAAATGACTGCATACTCGCAGCATGATTTATGTTTGCACACATGCTGCTGAGACAATTTAGAATAACATATGAAAAAATTGAGGATTAGCCCTCTCTTGTTTTAGAGATCCAGAGGGTGGTAAATCTGGAATTAGTCCCTTTTTAAGAATGACTGCATACTCGCAGCTTCGTGGAACATTGCACACACGTTGATGAGACAATTTGGAATAGTATATTAAAAAATTGAGGATTAGCCCTTTCTTGTTTTTGAGATCCTGAGGATTGTATATCTGGAATTTGCCTTCTTGTAAGGAATGACTGCATACTCGCAGCATGATAGATGTCTGCACACATGTTGCTGAGACAATTTGGAATAACATATGAAAAAATTGAGGATTAGCCCTCTCTTATTTTAGAGATCCAGAGGGTGGTAAATCTGAAATTAGTCTCTTTTTAAGAATGACTGCATACTCGCAGCTTCGTGGAACATTGCACACACGTTGATGAGACAATTTGGAATAATATATTAAAAAATTGAGGATTAGCCCTTTCTTGTTTTGGAGATCCAGAGGATTGTATATTTGGAATTTGTCTTCTTGTAAGAAATGACTGCATACTCGCAGCATGATTTATGTTTGCACACATGCTGCTGAGACAATTTAGAATAACATATGAAAAAATTGAGGATTAGCCCTCTCTTGTTTTAGAGATCCAGAGGGTGGTAAATCTGGAATTAGTCCCTTTTTAAGAATGACTGCATACTCGCAGCTTCGTGGAACATTGCACACACGTTGATGAGACAATTTGGAATAATATATTAAAAAATTGAGGATTAGCCCTTTCTTGTTTTGGAGATCCAGAGAATTGTATATTTGGAATTTGTCTTCTTGTAAGAAATGACTGCATACTCGCAGCATGATTTATGTTTGCACACATGTTGCTGAAACAATTTAGAATAACATATGAAAAAATTGAGGATTAGCCCTTTCTTGTTTTAGAGATCCAGAGGGTGGTAAATATGGAATCAGTCTCTTTTTAAGAATGACTGCATGTTCGCAGCCACGTAGAACCTTGTACACACGTTGATGAGACAATTTGGAATAGTATATTAAAAAATTGAGGA